GTCAAGATAAAGAGGGAACTTTTCAGGTTTTTTTTTTTTTTTTTACATTCTGTTTGTATTGAACTGGGACAATACAAAACAATTCTAACATTCTCATCCTAACATGTATAAAAATAAAATAAAATAAATTAAATTAAACATAAGAAAATAATAATTATCAGAATAGTATATATTTTTTAAAGATATAAAAATACTTAAATATTTAAATAAATATATTTTTCTAATCTAGGTAATTAATAAAGGCTACATCTTTTCCCCAATTCTATTTTTATTAATTTTTGTTGTTCTGTCCAAAGGAGCAACACAACTTTTCAACCACAGCATATGTAATAATTAAATTTAAAATATAATAATAATAGCAACAAAATAAGTAATATTATTAATGATGATGATGATGATGATAATAATAATAAACAAAATAAATTACAGTATCTATAATAGTTTTTTTTAAACAAAATCTTTTTATTAGTGTCAAATTAAATATGATTTCTATTGACATGTTTTTTTCTCTAGATAACTGATAGATGTTTCGTTTTTTCCGTTCCTTTTTATTCCGTTTTCTTATACTATCCAAACAAAATACAAAACATTTGCAACTTTTCCACCCCAACGTATATAATTAAATTGAAATAAATATAACAAATAAGTAATAGTAATAATGCTAATAATCAACATAAGAAAACTGACTTAAATTTATCAGAACCGTATCTGTTATTGTTTTTTAAATAAGTTAATCAATAAAAATGTAAAACTATTATGTCCGGGACCTCACAGTCATCATTATTTGACATTACACTCATCTGCTTATTAACAAATTGTATAAAAGGGATCCATATCTTATTAAATACATCTACTTTTTAGTAGATACTGTATTTGTTTAGCATATAAAGTGAAGTAATAACCAAAATCAGCTACTTTGTGGAGGGATTAACAATAAACAAACTAAATAGTGTCCAAATGTAAAAGTTTAGGAGGTAGGAGAAAATAGCATTTGTTTAGTATCAAAGCAATGGAGGTCAATGAAAAGTCCATGATAGAAAAGCAATGCTGTATGTGTACATATAGGTGGAAAGGCGATATCTGAGGACGGCCCGACCTGCAAAGTTCTGCTGAGGAAAGAGGTTCTGCGACTCGTCATCAACCTCAGCTCTTCAGTCGGCACCAAAGGACACGAAACCGGACTGCTCACGTAAGAAGAGCCGAGAAATACTGTGCGAGTGTGTGTTCTGTGTTTGTTTTAGCCCTGCGTAACGCTCTGCTGCCCTCTGCAGGATAAAAGAGAAGTTCCCATTCACATTTGATGACATCTGCCTGTACTCTGAGGTCTCCTTCCTGCTGGCCAACTGCATGTTTCGTCTGGCCTCACGCCGCTTCATCCAAGAGCTCTTCCAGGATGTGCAGTTCATTCCGGTACGGCGTCTCTCCTGAAAGCCTCTATAACAAATCTCAAATCTCCACCAAAATACTTCCTGAACCAAAGGACTCGGAGTTCATATTGCTCAGAAAAGTTCTAGTGTGTAGCTTCTACATCTTTTCACAGACTCTGTCATACTAGGGACCTCCAGTATTTAAAGCTATAATATAATGTAAGCTATAAAGACATGAAGTAAATTAAAGTTCTAATAAAAAAATGTATTAGTATCAAATAAAAAATGACATCAATTCTGACACCGGTTTCTCGTCTAGATAAAGATTGGTTGAATTTTTTTCAAGATTTATTTGAAAGTGTATCAAGATTATTTATTTAAGTTTAAAATACTTTTATTCAGCAAAGATGCACTAAATTGATCAAAAGTGACAGTAAAGACATTTCTATTTCAAATAAATGCTGCTCTTTTGAGCTTAATATTCATCAAGGAATCATGAAAAAATATATCAGGGTTTTCAGAAAAATACTAAGCAGCACAACTGTTTTCAACTTTGGTGACAATAAGAAATGTTTTTTGTGCTGCCTTGATACTGATTTAATTAAAAAAAAATGTACTTTTATGTTACGGTGTGAAAATCACTTACAATGGGATTTAACTATTTTGGGTAGCAAAATGTGCTTATTTTTAACATTACACTAAAAATGATAATACTAGTCCTAAAAACCGGCTGAATTTTCTTTATGCAAAATACATACTTTTTATTTTTAGTTTGTTTGTTTTTCGTTCTGAAATGTTCATGACAATTTAAGCACGTTTCCGTTCCGAATTCTCATAATTTGTCAAATATTAATCCACATAATAGCAGTATTTGTTGTACTACATTGATGCTGATAAAATCAAAAAATGTAAATGTGGGGAGCAAAATGTGCTTAATTTTCCTGACAATAATATCAATGCGAAATAATAGTCCTAAAACGGGCTTAATTTCCTTTATGTAAAATATATACTTGTTTCTCTTTTTTGTTTGTTTGTTTTTGCATTCTGAAGTTTCCATGACAATTAATTCATGTAATTGTAATGCTAACACATGATAGCAGAATTTAATATACTACTAGACCAATTATAGGTTTGTAAACATTCAGGATGCGCGCGCATAATGGCTGCAGAAAACCCGGGAGAGAGAGCCTTTACGGCTAGAGAATTTCACAGATACGGTACAAAATAGTTAGGTTTAAAAAGATTATAAATTATATTGATTAGATGTCATTTTCAAAATGTTCTCCGCATATTACAAGAGCTTGTCACCCAGCGATAAGCGCTGTTATTCAACGAAATTGACGTTAGAGAGTGCGATAGTCTTACAGATCCGAAACTGGGATGACGGTTTTTGTGGGTGGAGCCTATCTGGAGGCAGAAAATGACGGTTTTCAAGTGGCAGTCTATGGAGCCATGGAATAAAAGAATAAAAAAAAGGTAAATATTTCAAAATTCTGACTTTATTCTCGCAATTCCGAGATTATATATGAATAAATTGAAGTATTGAGAATACATTTGAATGTGTGTTTTCTTACTTCCCGGCCGTATTTACACTTTAGGAGACTGAGAAGATTTCACGGTGGCAAAGAGAATTTACAGAGGGACCAAATTGTTATTTATTAACAGTTATCACTATGGCCATTTGACTTATAGCAGTGTCCAGTGTTTCCTATACATTGAGTTATTTGTAGCGGCTTATCACAATATCAAAACTGACCGCTACAAATAGATTTTCCAAAAGGCTTATACTTTCGTTGAATAAAATGAGCGCTTCACGTTTCAAAATTAAAATGCAGCGCGGGTGTTTTTATATGAATGTACATTTACATTTAGTCATTTTGCAGACGCTTTTATCCAAAGCGACTTACAACTGGGGAATACATAAAGCAATTCTTCTTAAAGAGGCAAACAGACAGAGGAAGTGCTTGAAATACCAAGTTTTAGGCATTGTTCAAATAAGTACAAGCTAGAAAACGGAAGGAATAAATACAGAGAAAGACATTTTATTTATTTTTTTTAATGATGAAGCCAAGAGATGAGTTTTCAGCTGTCGCTTGAAAATTGTCAGGGATTCGGCATTCCGGATAAAGATTTTCATGGAAAAATGAATTGCATCTTTTGTAATCTGATTTTAGAGTGAAATGTGACCCAGACCTGTGAGGTTCACCCAGTGATTTGGATTGGATGAACAGCGGTTAGTAAAACATCTGCAGACTCATTCTCCATATCATACTAGACTCGTCTGGTGCTGTGGTCTGTGATCTGTGATCTGATGCTGATCGGTGATACGGTGGCGGTTAGATTTGACTCTGCCTTACAGTAAATTAAAGCAGAAGTGAAACATAATCATGCATGGTATCGTTTTATTGACAAATGATTAATAAAAGTGATCATCAAGTACCTTTGAAAGAATTCAGGAGTTCAATACAATACATAATGCATTTTGTATAATGTTGATTACAACAGAAAATCATTTTGACTGTGTAAACAGTCTAGAGGATTAATTAAAATATTAAGCCCTTTTAGGACCATTAATGTTTTTTTGTGTTACAATTAAGCACATTTCTATTAAAAAATTCTGTGGGGGGGAAAAAAGTTAAAAATGTATACACCATGTTAGTATTTTTTTGTGCTGCCTTGATACTGATTTAATTAAAAAAAAATGTACTTTTATGTTACGGTGTGAAAATCACTTACAATGGGATTTAACTATTTTGGGGAGCAAAATGTGCTTATTTTTAACATTACACTAAAAATGATAATACTAGTCCTAAAAACCGGCTGAATTTTCTTTATGCAAAATACATACTTTTTATTTTTAGTTTGTTTGTTTTTCGTTCTGAAATGTTCATGACAATTTAAGCACGTTTCCGTTCCGAATTCTCATAATTTGTAAAATATTAATCCACATAATAGCAGTATTTGTTGTACTACATTGATGCTGATAAAATCAAAAAATGTAAATGTGGGGAGCAAAATGTGCTTAATTTTCCTGACAATAATATCAATGCGAAATAATAGTCCTAAAACGGGCTTAATTTCCTTTATGTAAAATATATACTTGTTTCTCTTTTTTGTTTGATTGTTTTTGCATTCTGAAGTTTCCATGACAATTAATTCATGTAATTGTAATGCTAACACATGATAGCAGAATTTAATATACTAATAGACCAATTATAGGTTTGTAAACATTCAGGATGCGCGCGCATAATGGCTGCAGAAAACCCGGGAGAGAGAGCCTTTACGGCTAGAGAATTTCACAGATACGGTACAAAATAGTTAGGTTTAAAAAGATTATAAATTATATTGATTAGATGTCATTTTCAAAATGTTCTCCGCATATTACAAGAGCTTGTCACCCAGCGATAAGCGCTGTTATTCAACGAAATTGACGTTAGAGAGTGCGATAGTCTTACAGATCCGAAACTGGGATGACGGTTTTTGTGGGTGGAGCCTATCTGGAGGCAGAAAATGACGGTTTTCAAGTGGCAGTCTATGGAGCCATGGAATAAAAGAATAAAAAAAAGGTAAATATTTCAAAATTCTGACTTTATTCTCGCAATTCCGAGATTATATCTCACAAATAAGGAAAAACAACTCGTCATTCTCTCTTTTCCCCTCGGCTCTTCTGGCTTTTTCCCCTCAGATTTGACAAACTCACTATTTTTGAGTTAAGTCGAGTTATAAAGTCCGAATTAGGAGATACAAACTTGCATTTGCGAGAAAAAAAAGTCAGAATTGTGAGATAAAATAAATAAATGTTATGTAAAAATGTTAAGAGTAAGGTTTAAATAATATTTCTAATAGTAAGATTTACATTTAGTCATTTTGCCTACGCTTTTATCCAAAGCGACTTACAACTGGGGAATACATAAAGCAATTCTTCTTAAAGAGGCAAACAGACAGAGGAAGTGCTTGAAATACCAAGTTTTAGGCATTGTTCAAATAAGTACAAGCTAGAAAACGGAAGGAATAAATACAGAGAAAGACATTTTATTTATTTTTTTTAATGATGAAGCCAAGAGATGAGTTTTCAGCTGTCGCTTGAAAATTGTCAGGGATTCGGCATTCCGGATAGGGGTGGGAAGATCATTCCACCAGCCAGGAACGGTGAACGAGAATGTTCTGGAAAGTGATTTTGAGCCTCTGTGATGGTACCACGAGGCGTCGCTCACTAGTGGATAATAATATATTTATATAATATTTAATGCTGTAACTGTAGGGCTAATACAATACGTCCCCTATGAACAGCATATGTGAATATTATGTAGACCTATTGTTTAAATCAAATTTATGCTTTAGAAGTAGAGTAATCATAGCAGTTTTCATCCATAGTATGTGCATTTAAACGTCTGCGTTTAGCTTCAAATGGCGTCTTTGATGACAGTGTTCTATAAAAATTATTTGCATTCCGATCTTGACATCAAAAGGCACAAAAATATTTTTTTCTTTTATTTCATGGATTTTACACATTTACCTCCACTTGTTCCCAGTGTTTTTTTGCAACCACTATGCGCGCGCAGCTGCAAGTGACGTAACTGTGACGTCTACTCTGAATTGGTCTATAATAATAATATATATTTGAAAATAATAAAGCTTAATTGTCATGACAGTTATGTCACAATGCAAAATAATTTTTCAGTAAAATTTATATATTTTTTGTTATTCTAGTCAAAATGATTTTCTCTTGTAATCGACAACATTGCTCTTGATAGTGAAACTTGTGTTGAAATATTTCTTCAATAAGCTGCTGAAGCACTGGTTTAGAAAGAGTTAAAGTATTATCTTGACGTGTTGTCTATATATTGCTAGCGTTTCTCTTCACATCGCGCCTTTGAAATGCATTTAATCCCAGTGTGTTTCCTCAAGCGTGCACTGAAGCATCTGACATGTTAAAACACTGGTATTCAGATCTCCTAGCGATCGTAGCAGTCTCGTAGTAAGCCATAGTTTTTGCATTGATGTTCTCGACGTGTTCCTGATGTTCACACAAAGCACTGATCGAAACCATGTGTAGATTGCATGCTGAATTGACACAAACCC